TCCCATATGCAAGCACCGCCCCCTTCGTCACAGGCCAAACGACGGAACAAGACCAACCAAGATATCAAAACACCCTATACCGGGCAGTTCTGTTTGACGATATATATATCGTCAAACAGAACTGCCCGGTAAACCGTAGGCAGAGAGGGAGAGGAGGACAACAAACGAGGGGCTGTGGCAAACTGTTTCGTCGGAGTTTTATCGACTCATCCGAAGGCTGAACCCTCGTCACTACGCGGCCATGCTGTGCCTCTTATATAGTGCCAGCGGCGTGTCTGGAGTGTATTTTTTGGCTGTGACTGTGATGGGGTGTGAACCGACAGTCTGTAGAGTTTTCCATGTGGTGTGGGTGAGTGATAGTCTGCGTTGATTTTCGTCACATCTACCTGGCGGGCAGTGGTTGGTGGTCCCCACCTCCTCAGAGGGATATCAGTTGTCGGGCAGTCGTTGATGCTTAAGCACAGCAGGGGTTAAGGTGGATTATCACTCACAGTCTAATCAGTTAGGGGATTATGAAGACTGGTTTTGAGGGTTCAGCCTCCTTATGAGTAGGTAGGTGAAACTCCGACGAAACAGTTTGTCACAGCCCCTCGTTTGTTGTCCTCTTCTCCCTCCCTCTCCTGCCTACCTACGGTTTACCGTAGGCAGTTCTACTGGACGATATATATATATAATTAGTCAAACAGCGCTGCTGCCCGGTAACCGTAGGCAGAGAGGGAGAAGAGGACAACAAACGAGGGGCTGTGACAACCTGTTTCGTCGGAGCTTCACCGACTCTCTCACCTCACATATTTCACTGGCTTCGGCAATGTCATGGAACATATTTTCTCCATTCCTCCTGTGCTCGCTGCCCATACGAACACCTCCGACACTATGCCGTGCGACTCCGAACACCTAATACGACAATATATGCCGTGTGGCTCCGCGAAACGCGGCCGCCTGTCAATGTTTGTGCCCTTCTTCCTAAATAATCATCATAAACCTCGCCGTCTTTCTCTCCCCCCCTCCTAAATAAGCATTAAACCTCGCAGTCTTTCTCTCCCCCCTTCCTAAATAAGCATAAACCTCGCAGTCTTTCCCCCAAGTACAATACACGAATAAGACGATGAAGATAAAATTTCGTTCCGGATGTTAACCTTGTGGATTACCTGCGCACTCTGTTTAGCTCTCGCTATCTATCTTGATAACAGGCCTCGCTCCCCTACTCGACACTATACATGCACTTCGACGCCTTTCAGAACCAGGTGCGTTTAGGGGAGGAGTCCTCTGGAATGTATCGCGATGATTCTGAGCTCTAGATACGTATACACTTTTTCTAGTGGACCGACGCCCAACGCCGTTCCCATAATCGCTACGACTTCATGAATCCTCGAAACGACGCTCGCTTACCCTAGGGTAGCAAATTACTGCCAATCAAACACCGCGGCCTTCTCTCTATCGGCGCAAGCCTTCTCTCTCTCTATCGGTGCAAGCCTTCTCTCTCTCTCTCTCGGTGCAAGCCTTCTCTCTCTCTATCGAAGCAAG